TTCCTCTCCTTTTGAAGTACATCTACATAATAATCTGACTTATTTTGCTTCTGCATGTGTTAAATTCCCTTATTCTCTTATGATTGGAAACTGGGAATGGAATGTAACTTGGGGAACAATATCATGTATAGACTGTTATCTTACTCAATGTGTAAATAGAACTAATTGGGACTTAATAGAAATGAATAATTATTCTTTAGTCATTGTTAAAGCTCGAACAGAATTGTGGGTGCCTGTTAATTTGACTCGTCCTTGGTCTGATTCATTGTCTGTTACTCATTTGTACAATGCTGTTCAAGTTTTGTTATATCGCTCTCTACGATTAATAGGAATAGTTATAGCTTCATTCCTTGCAGTTGCTTCTGTAACTGCCACTGCTGCAGTAGCTGGCATTGCTTTACATCAAGACATTTAAATGCGAATTTCGTGAGAACATGGCATCAAGATGCTCATTTATTATGGAAACAACAAAAGGACTTAAACTCTCAATCGGCTACAGATGTGTTCAATTTACAACATACTGTTTCCTGGCTGGCGATCAAGTGACAATCTTGGCTACCAGAAGTGTTCTGAAGTGTGACTGGAATTCTTCTCATATCTGTGTGACTCCTGTGCCATATAATACCAGTGATTCCTGGGAAACTGTTAAAAGAGGTTAAATGGACATCAAAATTTAACTTTAGAAATTATGAATTTGGAAAAGACTATTATGGACACCTTTAGTAAGACGTTACCTGAATTGACAGGGTCTGACATCATACAAAGGTTGTCTTCAAGTATCGCTAATTTGAATCCTTTAATCATTTCTCTACCTTGTTGCCAACTTCTTTAGGTAACACTGTAATGATTTTTGTTTTGTGTTTTGTTTTATATATAGTCTTCCAAAGCTGGAAAAAGCAAAGGCAACTGAAACATGAAACCTCTCTAATCGCTTCTGCTTTGGCTCATTTACAAAAACAAAAGGAGGGCGATGCAGAGAGTCAGCTGTGACTGCGAGCACGCTGGCAGACGAGGTGCCCTGCTGTCTGCTGGTGGAGCTTGCCTGCAAACCGCATGTTCTGCCAAGTGGGCCAGGAGGGCTCTGGGAGAATTTTTACCTGTTCTTAACAAAGAGCAGAGCTCAAATGCTCCAGCCCAAGAGTCGATTAAGCCATGAGAAGCAGGTCACTTCTGATTAGTAAGTGACTTCTGTATACTGTGTTTAGCTAGCTTAGAGACCTGAGTCATTGCTGTTGAAGGCTGCCTTCTTTGTTCACAATACTATAAAAGACTGCTGTATACAATAAAGGGGCTTCTGCTTCTGCTTCTTCGTCTTCTGCTGCTTGCTCTTCCCTGTTCATGCCGACCTGCGTGGGAGTTATCTGCAGCAAGTACCTTCGTGACTCAAGGCTAAGGGGGTGCTCAGCTCCTGTTCAAGGCGGCGGACTCCACCTCTTCCCAGGCCTGCCGGGCCCCAGCCTGGGTGTCTGTCCTCCTCTCCTGTGAGGTTAGGCAGCTTCTGGGAGGGTGTTGACTCATCTGTGACCCAGACTGCTCAGCCCCTGTCGCTCTTGCCTGTGGAATGACTTGGGGAAATGATGAGGAAGGGATGCCTGTTTTCCAGCCACAGCCCACACAGCAGATGACGAGATGACAGAAGCAAGGAAAGGGCCATCAATAAGGCTCAGGATTCGAGAAGTCCTAAGGATAAATTCTACTCTTCCAAGATAACAATTGTGTGGTCATACCTGGCAGGAGGTGCAGGTTGCTGACTCACTACACAGGCAGCTCCCTGTCCCTGGCTGTGTATGTCAGCACAGGGGTAGCAGCACTGGCTCCTCCTCCTGCCCAGCACTCCTCCCTGTGTGGCTCCTCCTCCTACCCTTCCCTCCTCCCTCTGTGGTTCCTCCTCCTACCCTTCCCTCCTCCCT